TGATAGTTTTAAATGCACTGATAAAACTTGGAAGAATCTAAATTCTTGTAGAATATTTGCCATGTTAGTTTAATCCCGGTTGGAAAAGCAATGGCTATATTTGGACATTTACACATAATAACTTTTGTTCTCTAACTGTCATGAGTTTGTAAAGGTACATGTTGTTATTTTTAATCATTTCCATTGCATAAGGACTAGAATACTATACTTAAAAAAAAGGTTTAGTTAAATGGATACCCGAAATTTAACTTTTTAAATGACTAAACTTTGGTCGGAAGTCCAAACTTAGTCAGAAGTCTGCTCCAAAATGTTGTGTTTTCAACAAAATTATATATTCCACAGTCATATGTGGTTCCTCTAATTTATTTTGTTAACATAAATCAGTGTGCAGTAGTATCAGACATAATTTAGGAAGTGATTTTATTTTTATCAAGAATTTTCACCATAGCAGTTGTTCAAAAATATTTAACAAGGGACTATGAGTTTTCAGTTCTGCTATGATGGTGTGAATTCTCTTTAGCTCACTCATCTTAGCTCACTCATCCCATTGATAACAACCATAAACTGTAAATACAACAAACAAAGAAACAAAAACCCACAAAAAAACCCCAAAAACAAACAATATAGTATCTGAGGGTTATACAAAAGTAGGCAGATTGCTGAATTAAGTAAAAACTTGGAGAAGTCAGAAAAGAGAAAACAGGCAAATAAAAAACAGAAGGGACAAACAGAAAACAAAAATAAAATAGTGATCTAAATTCAACTATTTACATAATTACATTTAATTTTAATGGTCTAGAAACTCCCATTTAAAGGCAAAATTTTTCAGAGTGCATAAAATAGCAAGACCCAACTATACTGTACCACCTAAATGAGACAACAACTTTAAATGTAAAGACATAGGTTGAAAATAATGAATGGAAAATGATACACCATGTAAAATTTTAAGTTTAAGAAGTCTAGAGTGGCCATATTAAGAACAGATAAAATTGTCTTGAAGAACAAGAACATTACCAGAAATAAATAAGGATATTTCAAATATTAAATGAAGTGATTTACCAAGAAGACATTATAATTATAAATGTACATTGGCTTAATAACAAACTCCCAAAATAAATAAAGCCAAAATATTTAAAAAGGGAGGCATAGATGATTACATGTTTTTAGAAAGTTTTGATTTTGACACTCAATCTTAGCAATTCAGACTACTGACCAAAAATATTAGAAAAGACACAGGTGATCCGAAAAACACTATCAAAGACCTTGATCTAATGACATTTACATAACTCTATAGCTAATGCAGAATACATATAGTTCACATAGTACCTTCAACAAAATTAATAGTATGCTGGTCCATAAAACAAGTCTCTGTAAGTTTAAAAATACTGAAATCAAATAGTACATTTTCTAATCGTAATAAAATAAAATTAAAAATCAGTAAAAAGAAGAAATCTAGGAAAACCCAAAATTAAAAAAAAAAAATTAAGCAAGATAATAACTCATGGGACAAAAAGAAATCATAGAAATTTAGAAAACATTTTGATCTACATGATAATGAATATAAAATATATCAAAATTTATGAGAAACAAGCAATGTAGTACTTAGAGGAACACCAATAGTTTCAATATCTACATTATGAGGTTTGATCTCAAGAAATTAGAAATAGAAGAATGAAGTATGATTAAAATAAGTACAAGAAAGGAAATAGTCAAGATAAGAGCAGATATGAAAGAAACAAAATAAAGACAGATAATAGAAACAATTAGTAATGTTAAAGGCTCTTTCTTTGACAAGATCAACAAATTGGTAAACCCCTACCTAGGGTCATCACACAAAAAAAGAGAGAGCACAAATCATCAATATCAGAAGTGAAAATGCAGTTATCACTACAAAAAATAAGAGAATATTATGAATGAAAATTCTATGCCAACAAATGTGACAAAATGAAGTAGACAAATTTCATGAAAAATTGAACTTGCCAAAATGAATACATGAAAAAATACAAAATATAAAATATCTATAGGAGCTAAAGAAATTGAATTCATTATCTAAAGCCTTCCTAAAAAGGACATCTCAGATCCAGACAGTTTCATTAGTGAATTCTATCAAATATTCTAGTAATAAATAATATTAATTTTTACACAAGCTTTTTCAGTAACAGAAGAAGTGCAAACTGTTCAATTAATTTTATGAGACCTTTAAAAGAAAAACTGGCTAAAGTCACTACTATGAAAAAAATATATAGATAAATATACCTCATGAATATTGGCACAGAAGTCAAATCTAATAATATATGAAAATGATTATACATCATGACCACATAGGATTTATATGAGAAATTCAAGATTAGATAGCCTTCAAAAATTACTCAATATAACTCACCATATTACAAAAAGGAGGAAAACCATATGATCATTTCAAGAGATGGAAATTTCACAAAAATCCAACAAATACTCATAATAAAAATTCCCAGTAAACTAGAAGAATTATAAAACTTCCTTGATCTAACAGACATCTATGAAGAGCCTACAGCTAGCATCCTATTTCATGTCTCCACTAAGATCAGGAACGAGGTAGAGATGCCTTTTCCACAATTTCTATTCAACATCTTACTAGATCTTAACCAATAGAAGGCAAGACAAAGAAACAAAAGGCAGGAGATCAGAAATCAAGTGTAAGACTTCCTATTTACATATGATATGTCCATTTAAATGGAAACTCAGAGCATCTACAAACTGCTAGAGAACAAAGAGGTGAATTTAACAGATCTTAGGATGCAAGGTTAATGATTAAAAAACATTTAAACTTTGCAAAGAAACCACTAATTGTTTTATTTATTCCACTGAACATTAAAGTAGGCACATCAGTTTCATAAGTACCTTTTTGAAAAAGTATTTAAAATATAATTTTTAAACTTTAGAAACACAAAGTTATCTAGACATTTGTACACACACATATATAATATGTATTGTTCCTATTTAAGATATATATAAATGTTTAACACTGGCTAAATACCAGTTTATATGCATAACCATAAGGATGCTTGAACAATGACAAAATAATAATTATTTTATTTCATATTTTATGTTAAGACATGAGATTATGTTAAAATAATGTCAGCTGGTAGAACTTTCATACATACTGGGGGTTCCAAAAAATGTATACACATAACTTGTATTCATCTTTTGTTATTGGTATACATTATTACAATTTTAATACAGTTTTTCCTTTTCTTAAAATATGTATAAATTTTTTTGGCATCCTCTGTATATACATATGCATGTGTGTATGTGGGTGTTTGTGTGTAATTACTCTTTCCGGGTAAATTTCAAAATGTAAACTCATGATTATCTGTCAATGAGATAGATTCATACAGTTCCTATGGAAGTGCCTATAGAACGGTTTTACCTGGTTTAATAGTTTTCCCTACACCAGGAGGAAATTCTAGATTTCTTGTTAAGCATTTGGAGAAATTTGCCAGTGTTGATCTCCCAAATGCCTCAACTTTGCTAGACTTGGAGACACCTGGAGAGTTTCCGTGTAATAAAGAGCATCATTATCAAAGGGACATTGTGAAACATTGCAGTTTCCCTTCAAGAGTTTATTCTGAGCTTGCACCATGTTCGCAACGCGGGAGAGCCTGTGTGCTGCCAGGAGAATCTCTCCCTCTGCTGTGTGGCATCACGATGAACTGTCAGAGACCATGTATACTGAATAATGGATAAATGAGGGTCCCCTGACATAGGTTTGACAGTCATAAAATGTGAGTTTTGTGATTGCCTTAACAGTCTAACTCAGGGACTGACTGAGAGAATATTATTATTTCTAAATGCCAAGCTAATGAAAATTGTGAAGACTTGCAATAGGTGCTTCTCTTATTAGTGTTTGAAGCAATTATAGAGAGAATGGGTCAGTGCAATTTTCCTCCTGCACTTAAAAAACCCTTTCTTGTTACTGCAAGAAGAGCTATTCAAATTCAAATCAGGCTTCTTATCACAAATGTTCTGTTGTGAGAGACATTGAAAAATAAGTAGAACCCTCCTCCCCCCCTCACCAATCAGGCTGCATTTGAGGAGGTCAGTGTAATTTAAGGCAAATAAAATGGTGTTAAATCAACAGGTAGAATCAACTTGCTTTTGCTTTATGAGAATTACATTCTTGGCACCCTGTATATAACATATATTTCTTTTATTTCCCTCTGTTAATAATATAGTCTCTTATTGCACTACGGACAATCAGATATAAAATGAATACAAACACTTTTAAACATGTTAGCCCTCTCTGAATAAACAGATTTTCAATGGATTCCAAATATCACACAATTTAAGTATTGAATTCAGTGAACTGAGGTTGAGTACAATAAGAGAACTTGGATTGGAGAAGAATCAGGAATAAATGTAGAGAGGAGTTTGATAACTCTGAGGTTACTGGCTTGATTGAAAATTCATCTTTCATTTTGTTGTTTTACAGTCATAATGACATAGTCACACAGCTTTATCTATAAATGCAAAGGAAAAGAAAGTAATGTGACTAGATAATTTAAGGTTAAAAAAAAACTTGACAATATCTTCCTAGTGAAAAAAAGATGAAAAATGTGTTGACTTTCATTTTATATGAATTATTAAGATTAAATGTTTCCATTTATCGGTGGTAACAGAAAAATGATCCAAGGCAGTTTTTGTATCCTTATGACACATAAGCAAGGATACACACCAGGGCACTCATTACCGAGAATCTCTAGATAAAATGTCCCAATTCAAAATCCAGAGAGGAAAAATGTGTGTATATGTGTATGTGTGTGTGTGTGTGTGTGTGTGTGTGTGTGTGTGTGTATAGACTGATACAAGATAGAAAAAAAGGACTATTTTGAGAATTAATATATGCTCCGAATTGAAATAAGATTCCAAAGGACAATTTTCAAAGAAAAAAATGATAAATAAATCATTTTTTTCCCTTAATAGAAAAAAAACAAACAACCAAAAACCTCACAGGCACTCACCTAACCTCTCAATGGAATAATACCGCTGTTTACTATCCACACGTACTGTCTCGGCATAAGGGCTCCCAACGCCGTAACCAATGATGTAACCTCGCACTACGATGTTTGGGTTCAAGGGAGGAGTCCAGCTCATGATGATGCAGTTGGTCTGGGGCCTCACATGAAGAGAGCTTGGTTGGTCAGGGACTTGAGACTCTAGAATTCAAAAAAAGGCATCGTCAGCCTGTCTCATAATAGAACATACAGCATGGTAAAATTCCCATTTAAACAAGACAATATCATATTCCATAGATCCGCAGACGGTGCATCACTTCTGGCCGCAGTTCTTCCTTGTTTCAACATGTGACACATTTTTCATGTTTTTTTATTTAAGTTTCACAGAATTTTCTAAGCACAGAGAGTAATGAATTCCTTCCATAGCATCAGGCATCTTTATTCTATTGGGTGGTTGGAAAAGTCATGGCGTATTTTTTCTCTGTTTTTCGTTGCGAAAATGCGTCATGACTTTTCCGGACAACCCAATAATAGTTTTTTGGTTCTTTTTTCCCCTTTGGGCATATGTTTTTCCCCATATAGTACTACTTAGGTGTCATTAATAAGAGGTGAAACTGAAACAGCACACAAGTCACATTGACCGGCTTAAAACTGGCTCTGCTCCCTTAAAGCAGATTGGTGGTTAATGCAATCTTTGAGTTATTTTACAGATGTGCCATCCCTGCCCTCAAGATGACCCCAGAGCCAAGAATCTTCAGCCTACAGAGCTCAAGTAATGGAGGTGTGGCCACCGGAGCCCTCTACCAAGCAAGAGGTCCTTCAAGGAGGAAGATCCAGTGCCCAGACCAGATATGGACAAATATAGAACTGACCAATCAAACCCTGCCAGACTGGGATTTCCTTGGGCTTTCTCTTGCCCTTCAACCCTATTCCATAACTGGCCAACTTCCAAAACCCTCCAATCAAAACTTGCCCCTCCAGCATTACCTCATACCATCCTGTTCTCCCTAATCCTTAAAACCTGTCTGTACACCACATAGGGGAGACAGATTTAAGCAGCACCTCTTGTCTACTGTGAGTCAACTCAGCATTTAATAAATAAGCTCTTCTCTCAAAGGCTGGTGTCATAATTGTGGTTCTTATGTGCATTGGGCAGCAGACCCTTGCTCGGTAACAAAATCAAGGCAGATTTAAGAATAAGAAAAAGGAAAATGAAATGTCAAAAACTGTCTTGTCCAAGGATTACTTGTTCTGATTTAACTAGAAATAAAAATAAACTTAGTCTTTTCTTCTTAAGACATTGTCGGGAGAAACAGTTTAGGGCCATGGTTTGCTCAGCATGGTTAGGATGGTACTTGACCTATGATTTACTGAATCTGTGAAATGCACATTGATTAGGAAAGGAA